GAGTAATCCTAACACATTTCCTAGGTTTCCGTAGGTTGTTGCTTCTCCTTTCTTGTCTCCAATTTGCATTTGGATGGCAAGTGCTTTCTCGTGATATTCTTTAGCCTTCTGATATTCATCGACTAATCGTAACACAATTCCTAGGTTTTCGTAGGTTGTTGCTTGTCCTTTCTTGTCTCCAATTTGCATTTGGATGGCAAGTGCTTTCTCGTGATATTTTTTAGCCTTCTGATATTCACCGAGTGATCCTAACAAAATTCCCAGGTTTCTGTAGGTTGTTGCTTCTCCTTTCTTGTCTCCAATTTGCATTTGGATGGCAAGTGCTTTCTCGTAATATTCTTTAGCCTTCTGATATTCACCGAGTAGTCCTAACACATTTCCCAGGTTTCTGTAGGTTGTTGCTTCTCCTGCCTTCTCTGCAATTTGCATTTGGATGGCAAGTGCTTTCTCGTAATATTCTATAGCCTTCTGATATTCACCGAGTAGTCCTAACACATTTCCCAGGTTTCCGTAGGTTGTTGCTTCTCCTCTCTTGTCTCCAATTTGCATTTGGATGGCAAGTGCTTCCTCATGATATTCTTTAGCCTTCAGATATTCACCGAGTAATTGTAACACAATTCCTAGGTTTCCGTAGGTTGTTGCTTCTCCTTTCTTGTCTGTAATTTGCATTTGGATGGCAAGTGCTTTCTCGTGATATTCTTTAGCCTTCTGATCTTCATCGAGTAATAGTAACACAATTGCTAGGTTTCCGTAGGTTGTTGCTTCTCGTCTCTTGTCTCCAATTTGCATTTGGATGGCAAGTGCTTCCTCATGATATTCTTTAGCCTTCTGATATTCACCGAGTAATCGTAACACAATTCCTAAGTTTCCGTAGGTTGTTGCTTCTCCTTTCTTGTCTCCAATTTGCATTTGGATGGCTAGTGCTTTCTCGTGATATTCCTTAGCCTTCTGATCTTCATCGAGTAATAGTAACACAATTCCTAGGTTTCCGTAGGTTGTTGCTTCTCCTTTCTTGTCTCCAATTTGCATTTGGATGGCAAGTGCTTTCTCGTAATATTCTTTAGTCTTCTGATATTCACCGAATGTTCCTAACAGCTTTCCCAGGTTTTCGTAGGTTGTTGCTTCTCCTTTCTTGTCTCCAATTTGCATTTGGATGGCAAGTGCTTTCTCGTGATATTCTTTAGCCTTCTGATATTCATCGAGTAATCCTAACACATTTCCTA